TTTGTTTTGGAGTAAAGTGACGTATTGTCATGCAAAAACCACGAGGTGAATGAACGTATAACGAAATGAAAGGTAAAAAAAGGCTTATTTATAGTTATATTTTAAATGTATGTTTGTCAACTACTTTAAGAAGGATTCCCAACTTCCTGAATCTAATTGTTTTGCTTCTCTGTCAGACTCAGACTGGTTAAGTGGGTCATTGTTTTCAGAAAATATATCATTGTGCAAGGAAGATTTTTGTAGTATCTACAGTATATAATTTATGAATAAATATTCAAATGTCCAAAATATATTTAACTTTTAACTTTTAATTTCAGTTATTTTCTTTAATGTACTGTTTGGTTCAGTAGAACATAGTGCTCATGAAACAAAACATGTTTTTAATATGTTATCCTTAATGTCTAAATCTTTGACAAACTTTGTATTAATAATAAATGTAATAAAACCTTACAGTCTCTCAACTTATGCAAATTTGGACCAATGATTTTGATTGCATCACTATGTGCAGTCCATTCAAATGTTCTTCATCTGGATTCCTCCTCTTAAATATAGATATAATTGTCATCTGAAATCAGTCACAGGATTAGCAATTCACAGTGTAAATATGCTTTTGTTTCTTTTTATCAAAAGATATTGTACAGGGACACTACATTGAGTTTTTTAAGTGACATGGAGAGGCCTAATGGAAGCTGAATATTATTGACAAAATGATGACCTTATCCACAGCTGAGTAGCTAAGTTCACTATGTGGAATGCAACCTACCATCGTATACTGTATGAGCTCACCTAGTATGTATACTACAGATAGTATAGTATGTATACTACAGAAAGGGATGTGTGTGTGTGTGTGTGTGTGTGTGTGTGTGTGTGTGTGTGTGTGTGTGTGTGTGTGTGTGTGTGTGTGTGTGTGTGTGACAGAAGGCTCACACTGACACTACAGACTGTCATAAACATTTCCAGGGCCATCATATGAGCATTTGCATTAATGACTTATTGATAAATAATGTTCAGTACTTGCATGGACCAGTCAAACCTCATAACACCTCATATCTTTCGATATATTTACTCTCGAAGTGATTGTAATCATTGACATTGAGTTGATTTTTTTGAACCTCTAACCACAGTTAGACCTCAATTTCATAACTTAAATCTTTTCTAATTTTAAAAAATTAAAATTCACCTACTTAATTGCATTTACAGTAAATATTATTTTTTGGGGTGAACTAGGTCTTTAAGCTGTGTTCAGTTGTTTGTCATTGGTCATGTTTGTGTGTTGTCTTTTCTCTGTTTAGAGCTAAAGAGGAACAACTATGGCAGAATATTCAGACTCATCACAAAAACAAAGTGAGTACAGTGAAACTGATATATTTAACATTATATATATATATATATATATATATAATATATAATTAGGGAAAAGTTTATAAACACTTTTTATTAAAGCTGTTCTGTCCTCACTCAGGTGTGTCTCTTTCCAAAGTTAGACAGACAGAAAAACTCTTTCCAACACGTGAGATTGTGGGAAAATGCTGCTTTATTCCATGCCACATTGAGTATGTTAAAAAAGAGTGAAGCTATGTAAAAAGATGTGCATACAATGAGCTTTAGTTATCTATGTTCATAACTTCGTTACAATAACATTAATATCTGAGATTATAAATACAGAATATAGAGACAGATAATAAACTTACAGACAATGCTTCTACAGATGCTCACAGGATGAGTGGATTGTAAGGAACTTCTTGTAAGGTGTTCTTTTTAAATGAGACGATTGTCTGAATCTGTCAGAATGTTTCTATGGCAACAACAATTTAAAAGAAGCTAAATGACTAGGCATTAACATATGGATTCTCAATGCTAATATTTAGTAGTAGATGATCCATCCCAAAAGCCGTTTGACAAAATAGCCAAAGCACTTTAACAAGAACTCAAAAAACAGTAATCAAAATTAGAGAACAGACTCTGAACTTAGAGAAAAAACTATGAAAGCTACAGCAGTCAAAAAAGTACAGGATCCTTGCTTTGAATGATGTCAATTCAGCATACATCTCACACTGCTCTGATATGATCTTGCTACATTCTTTAGTCTCTTCCACAGTTCACTGATTGTTGTAGTTTCTTTTTTTTTGCTGGTAAAGATTTTCCAGAGATTTTCAATCAGGTTAAGATAATGACTCTGATTCTCAGCATACTGTTTATTATACTGCCCCCATATTTTAGAACGATTCCCCTCCACAGCCACGACCACCCACAAGTTTAAAAGTCAACTCTAATTTTTATCAGTTTCATATTTTTAAGAGCCCCTATTATGAATTAAAAAGGGTCATATTTTGGTTTTGGGGGTCTCCAACAACAGTCTGATATGCATGCAAGGTCAAAAAAAACTTTCATTGTCTTATAATATACAATTATTTGACCTAATTATCCCAACGACTCCCATAGGATTCATAAGTGATTCATTTGTTCCCAAACCCCAGTCCTTAGCGTGAAGCTAATCTGC